TTGAACGTGCATGTGAAATGACTCTGTTGAATAGACGATGTGGCAAATCATTTGCAAATCAGCCATGACTCTGCCTATGAAATAACCCACAACCGACTTGGATTCCAAAAAGTCTGTGTGAGGTGGGTACTGAAATAACTTATGTAAGAGCATAAACAGAAGCATTTGGACATCTGCAAACAAAATTTGGACCGATACTTAATGAAAGGTAAAAGTTTCCTTTAAAAAAAATGTTACTGGTGATGAGACGTGGATTCATCACTATGATCCTGAGACTAAATGGGAGTATGGAATGGAAACATCTTCAATTGCCGACCAAGAAAAACCAAAAGTTAACCATCAGCTTGAAAATTGATGCTTATAGTTTTCTGGGATTCTCAAGGGCCAGTATTAGAACACTGTTAGGAAAAAGGTTCAACAATCCAAAAGGTGCTTGTTACAGTAAGATGCCCACTGAAGAACTGAAGCTTAAACATTGAATTAAATGCAGAGGACTGCTATCCAAGGGCTTTGTGATCTTGCATGATAATGCATGTTCACACACCTCTGCCCACACTGTTGCTACTCTGCAAAAACTTCATTTTGAGATGTTAATTAGAGCATCATCCTCTCTATAGTCCTGATCTTGCTCCATTGGACTTTCACCTGTTTGGTCCCCTGAAAGCAGCCCTTAGAGGATGAAGATTCACCTCTGATAAAGAAGTGAAAACAGAGGTGCAGTCATGCTCACAGCTCAGCCTAAAACATTTTTTTATAAGGGAATATGAAAGCTTATTGACAGATGGACAAGGTGTATTGAAAAGCAAGGAGATTATGTCAAAAATTATGCATTTGTCTTTTACAAAAGTTTATTAAAATAAAGTCTACAGTCAGAGTGTGGATAATTTTGACTCACCCTTGTATATCAGTAAATTTAATTTGCTAATTTTTGCTTTGGATACTTATGTCTATGTTCATGAAAAATACTGATCTTTATTTTTCTTTTCTTATACTATTTGACTAATTTTTGTATCAGGGTAAAGTTTGCCACATAGAATGCAATGGGAAATGTTTCTTCCTTGTCTGGTATCTAGAATAGATTGGTGTTACACATTTTTAAAGTAGCCACTAAAATTTACCTGTGAAATTATGTGGACCTGGACATTTCTTTTCCAAATGGTGCTTAACTACAAATTATATTTTTTTAAATAGTTATAGAAATTTTTAGGTTATGTATTGTATCTTAGGTTAATTTAGATCATTTGTGGTTTTTGAAGAACTGGTACATTTCACCTAACTTGTGGAATTTATGTGTATATACTTATTCATAGCATTCTCTTAATATAGTTTTAAATGTCTGATGCAACAATAGTGATAGCCCCTTGTCTACTCTTAATATTGGTAAATGTGTCTTCTTTATCTTTTTTTTTTCTTTGCCAGTCTTTCTCTTGCTAGAGGTTTACCAATTTTATTACTTTTTTTTTTTCAGAAAACCAGATTTTTGTTTCATTGACTTCTTATTTTTTCATTTTAACTTCATTAATTTCTGTCATTTTTATTCTTTTTCTTCTGCTTGCTTGTTTTGTGATTAACTCTTATCTTTTAATTTCTTGAACTAGAAGTGTATTAATTTGAGACCTTTCTTCTTTTCTCTTGTAAGTATTTATTGCTGTAAATTTCCTTCTAGTGCAGCTTTAGTTGCATCGTACAGGTTGATATTTTGTATTTTATTTTTGTTCAGTTGAAAGTATTCTAATGTCCCAACTTGAGACTTCTTGTTTGATCCCCTAAATGTTTAACAATGTGTTTTAGGAGGCTTTTCCTGTTATCTTTCTATTAGTGATTTGTAGTTTGAGTCCATTACGGTCAGATAACATAGTTTGTATTTTGATCCTTTTAAATTTATAAAGGTTTTTTTTTAGGACCCAGGACAAGGTCTCTCATGGTGAATGTTTCATGTGCACTTGAAAAGAATACACATTCTGTTGCTGTGAGTGGAGTATTCTATAAATAAATTAATTCCATCTAGTTGGTTGATAGTGATGATCTGTTCTTCTATTCCATCTCAGCAGGAAACAGACCTGCCTTGATAGGCAAATTAACACATTAAATAACTATTTTTAAAAATTAAGACTTATTTTTATATAGCTGGTCTTATCAGCTTTTGACAGGGCTAACCCATCTATGATTCTGAACATTCTTAGAAATGTGTATGTAGTAAACTTTTATTTCCTGCCCTTGTTTTTCTATTTTCTCCTGCCCATTGATTCATTACTTCCCTATTGTCTTCTTCCAGTTGAGACAAGGTTGGAATTTTCCAAAAGGAACTTTGTTGGGAACGTGGAAAGATAAATATAACTGTATTGATTTGGAGAATGATAACATGTCCAGTTCTGTACACCACTGCCTAGCCTAGAAGGAACCTACGTATCCTTTTCATATTGTAATCCTCAAGAAACATCGAGAAAACAGACAATGCTTACTGACACCATTTCACAGTTGAGGTCACAGGACATTTTTTTTAAGCAAGTGAAGAAATTTATTAAAGCATAATTGTTCTCACAGAGAGGAGAATGGGCTATTCCTCATGAGTGAGGAGCGTGCCCAGTGAGTTCTTGGTTTCACTTTTATGGGGTTTTTTAAAGTTTTTATTGTGAATTGAGTGATAGTTTACATGGGAGAACATCAGCTTTACATTCATCCTATCATATTTCGTTTCATTGCTATGATTACAATCCCCTCAATGCATCATCATTCAACAGCATTTGCTTCCATTCCCCCTGTGTTGTTGTTGTTGTTTTTTCTGAAAGTACACCAAAGCACTCAGAAATATATAATGATTCAAACAACCAAAGGGTGCACCCTACAAGCCTGCCCCCACCCCTGCCATCAGCACACAGCCCCTCTCTCTCCCTGAGTACAGAGTCCTCATCTGTTCCATCACTTCATGTCATCATCTCTGCTTCCATCTCTGGTGTCACTGCTTCCCTGGATAGGGGCCCGCAATCCGCTCCTCTCCCTTGATTGTCCCAGGGACCTCCACTCCTGGACTGCAAGATCAACCACTCTCCTTTTGTTACAGTACGTCTACCTTTACATATGCAACACTCACAATCAGTCCTGATAGCAGTTATTCACCATTGAGCCACAAGAGTCTTATCCCCATCTCTTTTCACCAGCCCAATCCAGAAAGGTTGGACACCACTCAATGGAGATTCTACCTTCCCCGGCACCTTCTGAAACTAGGCTCCCTCTTAAAAGCTTGTAAGCCAGTCACTTTGTGCCTTTGCAGCCCCCCCCACCCCCACCCCATTTTGAGTAGCCAATGTCTAAGTTGCCCATCCCTGTCAACCCTGTATACAGAGGGGGTGGGACTGATCCTGGCTGTAAAGATTCGTTCCCTCTTTTGAGCTACTACATCCATAAGTATAGGTCAAGTTCATCAAATAGTAGTGGATTATTCTCTTTTCCTCTTCTTTCTTCCTCTAGTCGAGTTCTGATCATCCAACCATTGAAGCCAGGTCAAGTGGGTACTATCTGCAAGTTTGGGTGTTCTTGTGCATCTCCCTTCACTTGATATCAGCTGGGCGCTTCACTCTTCAGTCTAGTCCTTTGTGAGGCCACAGGACTTTTAAATGCTTGAAGTGACCTCAAGGTCTTTCAGTCTTGAAGAAGCAAAGCCAGGACTGAGTAGATTGGCACCATATCCAATGTACTTCCCACAGTTTCCTATTATGGTTAGATAATTAATGATTTAATGATTTTGTGATTTGTCTTACAATTTACTTTTCCTAATGCATTTTTTTTTTTTTTCATGGCTTGCTGTGGTCTGAGATGAACAAACTTACAAGGGAATATTGAATCCTAGCCTTAGCAAGTGTGGGTAGCTCTCACAGTCTGGTAGCGTTCTCAATTCATCCAAGGTTCTAATTTACTCCCATTTCTATGAGCTATTATTAACTACCTATAATATTTCTGCATAGCCCCAAACCCAGGAAATGGAAAGATGACTAAGATCATCCCCAGATTCCTGGCCCCTTTGGGCCCCAGGTGATCATGTGGGTCTCTGTAGTCCCTGTGGGGCCTGCCTTCTAGATGCAGAAGACTTTAGGAAATTGTCTAGTGCCTGAGCTCACAGGGGTCTCCTTTCCCTATAGTTCTCCAGGCCTCACATGAGCAGGAGAAAGAAGCCCTCATCAACTCCTTCCAGGAGACCAAGACAGCCCTGCAGGTAAGAGGAGCTGCTCTTTGTTTGTCTCAGGTGAGGGGAATGGAAGACCCATAGAAAACAACTTGGAGCCCCCAAGGAACCAAAGATGTCAGAAGTAATTGTCTTCCATGTATGGCAGCCAGGCTATTAGCTCAAGAAGACTCTGTCTAAAGTAGACTTGGTCCATTTTTCCAAAGACCATTGAGACAATCTTGGAGATTATATGGACTAGGTGTCACCGTGTGATTCAGCTGGTGGGTGGATGCACAGGGTCATATGGAAGCATGTGGGAAGGTATCTAACCCAATTTGACCGGTCAGGGAAGATTTTCTAGAGGGAGTGATAGCTAAGAACCTAAAGGACGAATTGGAAGTCTTCAGGTGAAGAAAAGAAAGACTACTCTAGGCAAGATAAAACAGCACATGCAAAAGCATCGAAGAAATGGGGGCAATATGGAATACCTGAGCAACTGAAAGAAGTTCAAGTAGCCTTGGGGTAGAGGGTATGAGTGGGTGAGAGGTAGAGAGAGCAGAGGCTGGGGAGGGAGGGAGAGTCCAGCATGTGGGAGCCTTGTTAAGAGATGGTCCTCTGTCATAGAGACAACCACCAAGGTTTAGGTGAAAGAAATTCTTGGCTAGGAAAAGTATGGAGACACTGCACTGTGAGGAGTAATGTGATATCTGAGCTCTGTTTAATTGAAGAAAATGTGTAGAAAAAAAGGAGCAGTAGGAGACAAGACAGGGAAAGTTCATTGAGCCTGGTTTTGAGACTGAATACCAGACTAAAATTGATCTTGACTCCCAGGACATTTTCTCTAAGAAAGATTCAATAGCTTTCTCTAAGACTATTGAAGACTTTACAGCAAGAGAGTGGGGCTGAGATGCTTCTTCTATCAGTGATAGAAGTAAAGCAAGCTTGTGTTATTGTGTAGAGTAGACAAAAGACAAACTGTAAGAACCTAAAAATGTTGACTATCTGGGTTGTGTGGAGTTCATGGATCACCCTGATGAGCCAGATTTTGAGTGTTTCCTTCCTGCTCCATTCTCCAGGAGACCATAGATGAACTAACCTCACAGCTGCAGATCTTCCAAGCCAAGATGAAGAGGGTAGAAGAGTCCATTCTGAGCCGAAACTATAAGAAGCACATCCAGGTAAGTGGCAGTACACTTGGGGGCCATTCCTCCTTGAGTCTCCAGGCTATCCAGGGAGGCCAGGGTCTAGGCAACAAGAAATGACAGTAAGTTGAGACCAAGCATACTTATTGCCATTGCGTCCATTTTGCCCCTGCTCCATAGTGTTTTCTTGGCTGTAGTCTTCATAGAAGCAGACTGACAGGTTTTTCTTCCATGACACCAGTGTATAGGTTTGAATCACCAACCTTTAGGTGAATAGTCAAGTATAAAGCATTTACACTCCCCAGAAACCTTGAGACAAAACATAGCACGTTTCCAAAGCTAGAGCTCAGACCTCACACTCTTAACCTCCTGGAAGCAGCAGGGTCCAAGGGGAAAGTAAGGCTCAGAAAGAGGCCTAGAGCATGGTAATGAAGTGTTTGGCCCCTGGATTCAGAGAGAACTAGGTGTAAGTAGCAAGCCTACCACTTACCACAAATGACTTCGCCTATCTCAATCTCTGTTTCCTCTTCTGGGGTGGCACTAATATATGCCATGAAGGGTGTTAGGGGGAAATGAAATAAAGCATATTAAGCACTCATGTGTCAACCAAGTTCTGGCATTCTATTTTCAAAAAAAAAAAAAAGCAAACCATCAACCATTGAAACCCCTATGGAGTCATTCTACTTTGACACACATGGGGTTGCCATGAGTTGGAATCAACTCAACAACAACTGACTTGGTTATTTTTTTATGTGCCAAGAGAGGGAGGTGAGTTGATGGCAGATTGAGGAGGAAGTAGGCCATGCCCTGTCTACTTGTGGATCTAACATCATCTCTGTATGTTCCATCTCTGTATGTTCCTGTCTAGGATTATGGGAGCCCCAGCCCATTCTGGGAGCAAGAGCTGGAGAGTTTGCACTTTGTCATTGAGATGAAGAATGAGCGTATTCATGAGCTGGACAAGCGGCTGCTCCTCATGGAAACAGTGGTCTGTGGCTGGGAGCGACTGGGTGGATGCAGCCTCCATTTTTCTCCTTGGGCATTGATTCTTCTAAAGCAAGAAGAGGGAAGGGATGTGCTTTGAAGAGGTTCAACACTGGTCCACACTAGCTTTGATCTGTTGCCTGTACTGGCACTTGACCAACGAGCACATGTCCACTCTGGCCATTCTGGGGAAAGCAAGGGTTCCTTGCTTTTCTTGGCTACTCATGTTGCTGGAACTCGGTGGCAATAGAGCAATGAGTCTGGTTAACTAGGAGGGACTGGCCGATGTCACATGGGCTGAGAGAAGGCAAGGCAGAAGGGTCAGATAAATAGAGGGGCTGCTGTCAGCAAGGTCGAGGCCACCAATGCTCCTGTCGCCAGCAGGACAGAAGCCTCAGGAAACTAGTGTTGAATCATAGCAGCAATTATGTTGCTCTCTAATCTTAAAGGCCTCCTTCAAAGTAAACTCTGTGTTTACAACCAGTATTGTAATCTGACCATCTCAAACATTCTCTTGAAATTTTTGTTCAACTGTGTTTTGTAGAAGAGAGTAAGAAACAAAAGTAATTTTATTTAAATGGATTATACTCTCTGATTTGGAGGGAACAAAAAGATATCCATTCTTTTATGAACTGATGGTTATATTAGACAGTAGTGGGCATGTACTTTAATATTCTGGCTTGACAAAATTAAAAGCTGACAGCCCTATGTGAGCATCTTAATTTTATTTTCTTAAGTAAACTTATTGCTCCGTGAACTGCAGCGTGTGGTCTAGAATGTGTTCCCAGTTACTCCAGATCACAGAATGTGATGCCCACACTGTGCTGTGTTGAGCGTAGCTGCTCACTAAACTCATCCCAATTTGTTACAGAAAGAGAAAAACCTAACATTGGAGGAGAAAATCACCATCCTGCAGCAGGAGAATGAGGACCTCCAAGTCCGAGGCCGGAACCAGGTGGTTGTGTCGAGGTAGCCACCCCCAGCCTCCTTTCCTTGTGCCCCCACCCTTTTGGCTATTATCTCCATTTGGGAGGGGCTCAGAGGAGCCTGGGGAATTGATGGATGGATGTTCCAGAGCCTGCCTGAGAATGTGGCTCCTCTTCCTTTTGGAATCAGGAACCCTAAGGAACCTAGTGTTTGCTTGCTCCCATCCCCTGCATCTTGTTAGGGCACCACCCAGGAAAGCCCAGTATAGAGAAAAGGAAACAGGAAACTTACAGCTCACAAGGCCTGAAAAGAATGAATCAGTTCCTAGAGCTTAGTAAATGAGAGTTATTATCATGTGTCAGATATATTTTATTAGATACTTTACATATTATCTCTCCTAATCCTTACCCTAAGAGATTATTATTATTCCTCCCACTTTACAAATTTAAAAAAATGCCATTGAGTCAATTCTGATTCACGGTGACTTCCTATGTGTCAGAGTAGAATTGTGCTCTGTTGTAGTCTCAGTGGCTGTGACCTTTCAGAAGGAGATTGCCAGGTCTTTCTTTCAAGCTGCTTTGGGTGATTTCGAGCCACCAACCACTCAGTTAGCAGCCAAGCATTTAACTATTTACTAACAATCAGCAAAATCCAAGGTTATACAGTGAAGAGTAAAGTCGAGATTTGAACCCAGAGCTGTCTGTCTGAGGCCCATGTTCACTGGTCAACAGATTAAATTGCCTCATGCATACAGGCAAAGGATGGGGCTGTGGGGAACCTGGAGTCAGCTGATGCCCATCCTTAGGAAGGCTTCCTGGAGGAAGGGGTTTATCACCGGGCTGCTGCTGCTCCCATTAAGCAGCCCTGGTCTGTGTGCATTCTACAGGCAGCTCTCAGAGGACCTGCTGCTTGCCCGTGAGGCCCTGGAGAAGGAGTTGCAGTTCCGGCGACAGCTCCAGCAGGAGAAGGAGGAGCTGCTGTACCGAGTCCTTGAAGCCGATGCCTCCTCCGCCTTCCCCCTGGCCTCTGTCACCCCCACCGAAGTCTCTTTCCTGGCTGCCACCTAGGGCTGGCTAAGCCACCTGTGGCCACAGCTCCCTCTCGAGGACTTTCCTGAGAAGACCTCTCCAGTTCCTTTCCTAGAGAGGACCACCTAGCAGGAGTGGGGCAGGGAAGCCAGGGTATGCAATAGAGAGCCCTGGGGGGCTCTGGCCTCGTGGTCCCAGAAACGTTGGCCCAGAACCTTTCATGGGATATGGGAAGTTACAAATGTCCAAGAAGGAAACAAAGTATTAGAGCTTCCCAACATTCCTTGGCCAGCTTTCTAGCCCTGTCCTGGGAGAGCACTTCAGGCAGCAGAATGCACATTAGAAGTATTTTTTAATTGTGGAGGGCAGGGCTTGAGATGGGCATGTTGTGAGGGGATGGGGGTCTTCCCTCAGATAGTCTGTGGTGGATGTAAGGAGGAGATGAACTAGTGTCTTGGTGGGCAGGCTAGGGAACTGAAAAGAACACATAGTATCTTATTTATTTAGCCTCTGTGTTTTCCTGGTAGAGGGAGGAGGTGGGTCTTTGCTGAGCCCCTCTGCCAGCAGCAGGAGTCTTTGAAGGATAAATACTGTAGTCTGGTGACTCACCAGTGTCTCAAACTTGCTCTACAGGGACTTGAACCCCACTAGCCCTAGTCCTGCCCCAGCCTTAGAACTGGGACCTGGGGTGAGGGTGAAGGTAGGCCCTCAAAATAAGGTCAGGCCTTGGAGTGAAGCTGTGAGGGTGGAGAGAGATGGAAGAGGTGGATGAAAAGGTGCTTTCTGTGCTGTGGGCACCACCCCCCTTTGACTCTGGTATCCAAATCACTGAAGGTCACACAGGCACCTACCCATTTCTGCCCATTGCCTCACACTCAGATGCCCAGGGAGGGAGCTAGGAAGGGGCAGGGGAGACTCGAGGGATTCAGATCATATGGTCATGGGTGGTGACAGTCCAGCACCCTGCAAGTTGATGGCCCAGCAGGTGTAGATGCCAGCCTCCCCAGCCCGGGCCTCCTCCACATAGAGGATGCTGTTTGCCTCCAGCTGTACCTGGCCTTCCTGGTGCCCTACACTGGCCCACTCACTGATGTAGGGAGGTCGTCCCAGCTACGGGGAACAAAAACAGAAATTGTCTTTCAGTTGCCCTGGCTGCCATCTCTGACTCAGGCACCAGGGAACAGATCAAAACCCCTCCCACTGCCATCAAGTTGGTTTCAGCTCATATCAACTCTATAAAATTCAAAACTCACTGCCGAATCAATTCTGACTCATGATGACCCAATAAGACAGACTAGAACTGCTCCATAGGGTTCCAAGACTGAAAATGTTTACAGAAGCAGACAGCCTCATCTTTCTTCTGCAGAGTGGCTGGTGGATTTGAACCACCAACTTTGTAGTCAGCAGCCAAACACTATCCCACTGTGCCACCAGGGCTCCATTAGCCTTTCAACAGATGGAAAGGGACAGTGGTGCTTCAGCTGAAAGATGGCACCTTAAAGTCCATGTTCTTTATGGAAAACTAAGGGTCTCAAGTTAAAAGAGAAACCCTGGAGTTCCCTCTCCTTCAGCAGGCAACTCGCCTCCCAGTGTGTATCTGTGAAACACTACTTCTGAACCTACGTTAGCAAATGCATCCCACTTTCCCAAAGATGAGGAAGGTGGGGATCCCATCACCAAAAATGTCTGAGAAACAGAGTCAAGCAACATTAAATTGGTGAAGCTTAGACCACCAAATCTGTCGTGTGTGCAAATGCATTTGAATCTCTGAAGTGGGCAGTAGTTACAAGAGAAAGGGTTTTCCTGAGAACACCTTTTTTTTGGGAGGTAAGGGGAAGAAAGATATGTTAGTATTCTGCCACAACAAGGTACATGTCTGGGGAATGCTGACATAGCGAAGTCAGCGTCTCCCAATCATTTATGTGGTGGTTTCCCCTGCTTCAGTCTCAGGTTCCTCATCAGATGAGTAGAAGAATGACCACCCAGTCCTTTCCTTTGTACCTCCTAAGGCCTCTATGGGATTCACCTGCCTCACGGCTTTGCTGGGCTCCACCCTCAATTAGCTCCTGCAAGGAATACAAAGATGAACTCACAGAGTTTACAATGTACTGGCCCATCTCACCCAAATAAGTGGAGCCAATGTACTTTAAATTCAGGGAGAAGCAGAACACATAGGCTGGGGTCCACGGACCTCCCTTCTAGGTTACAGGAAATGGTGATGTCAGCAGGTTACAGCACCCACAGAGCAGCTCATTGTCCCATCCTAGACTTTTCCTAAATGTTCTCTAGCTACACAGTAGTACCTCATGAGTCTGTATACCCCAATTCCTTCCCCTCCCTTCTTCACAAAGGCTGTCCCCCTGCTCAGACATCTTCACTGGCTTCCTGGAGTCTGGAGAATGATTCCCGCGTTCCTTTGCAGCCATCACTCCCCTGAATTCTAGCAGTGTGGGGAAGGTGGGGTTTTGTGGCTTCAGTGTGTGAAATGTCTCCCCTCACTCTCACTTCTGCTACGATTTTCCTGGAATGCCTTCCACTCACTTCAATCCTACCTCACACCAGACTAAAGACCCACTCCCATCGTGTTGGTTCTGACTCATAAGACAGAATAGAACTTTCCCATAGGTTTTCTGAGGGAGACCTGGTGTGGCACTGTAGGATAAGCACTCGATCGCAAGGTCAATTCGAACCACAAAGTTGGTGGTTCAAACTCAACAGTCACACCTCGGAAACCCTATACTGGGTCACTATGGGTCGAAACCAACTTGACGGCACTTAACAACAAATATTCCCAGAAACGGACTACTTCATCTTTCTCTGCAAAGCATCTGGCAGGTTGGAACTACTGACCTTTCAGTTAGCTGCCCAATGACACTTAACCCACTGAGCCATCAGGGTTCCATCTACCTCAATTCAAATTCCTACTTTTCCCGGAAGCCCTTTTCAGAATTCCTGAAGTCCTCCATGTTAGTACCATACTATTTGGCATAGCAGTTTTACTGATGCCTGGGGTTTATTGGAGGAACGTTTTTTGAGAGGAAAGAACATAAACTGCATCTCTCCAACAGTGAGGAAAGGGCTAGACTCAGAGGATGCCCAGGAAACAGTCTATCCATCCCTTCATATATTTTCTATGTCCCCCCTCCCCATGGGACACACGTGTGTAGCTTGCCGTAGAACCTGAGCACCTTCTCTAACCCCATTTTTGTGTGCTTGGGGCCAGTCTGGTCCTGGCTTGAATGTCACCTCACAGATGATTCCCCAACCACTCTGTCTTAAGTAGGCACTGCCATATTGCCGTGCTTTATTCTCTCTGTAGTACCGGACACTCTCCATCATATAAATCCACTTCCCACTGTCTCCTCCCCAGTTAGCCTGTAAGCTTGTGGCGACCAGAAGCCATATCTCTTGTTGACTCTTCCTGTAACCTCAGCGCCTAGTACAGTGCCTGGCATATGGTGGTATGCCATTGTTTTTGGAAAAATTAATAAAGGAATAAATTAAGGATGCTTATTTCATAACCTGAGCAGTAACTCTACATATTTGACAAATGGGAAAACTAAAGCCCAGAAAAAGCCACTCAAAGAGGCAGTGTCAGAACTGGAACTATAATTCAGGCTCATCAGATTCCCAGTCAAGCAGTGATTCCACTTTGTATGATCATTCCTGGTTATCATCTGAATTCTTCATTCCTCTTCTCCTCTTACACTTCTTACCTTCTGCCCTGGATATTCCCAACTAAAGTCCACAGCAATCTCAGGTTCACCCAGAACTGTGCAGGGCACACTGAAGTTCTCTCCCAATTGGATGAATGTTGCTAAAGCTTGGATGCTGGGTCTGGGGGAGGAAGATGGGTCTGTAATGGCGAGTGGGGGAAAGAAAATTCAGACAAATTATTCAAATGGTTGAATTAATAGAAACTGGAGGGAGAGAGGTAGAGTGAGTGGATGGACTTGTTAAACTGAGAGAGGCTATGTAAACATATGCATTGTTGTAATCAATTGATAGAGAATGAATGGGTATATGGACAAATGATAGAATGCTTGACCTGATGGAGGCTGGCTGGCTAGAATGGCCAGAGAATAGATGAAGGAAATAATTTGACTTGATTGCGCAAAGGTGGTGGATAGGAAATGTAGAGTGGCTGGCTGGCTGTCTGGACAGTTGAGTGAATACAATGGAGTGTTGTTTAAAGAAGTTGGTTATTTTCAAAAAAACAAACCAGTTGCTGCTGAGTAATTTCAGACTCATGGTGACCCCTTGTGTGTCAGAGTAGAACTGTCCTCCATAGGATTTCCAATGGCTGGTTTTTCTAAAGAAAAATCCCTTGTCCATACCTATTCTCTGTGCTCTTTCTCTTATAAGGGGTCCTGGACTGAGAATGCTGAAGACCAGACTACAAGTTCTAACTCTGTCATTAGCTTGCTATGGGCCCTAACCTAAAACCCTTTCCTTCTCTGGTCTTTCATGCCTTCATCTGTACAATGACGGGTTTAGACTGCTAGATATCTAAGGGCCTGTTTGAATATTCTAGTGCATCTATATAAATGCCACAATGGGTGGTTTTAATGGGCAGAAATTTATTTCCTCAAAGTTTAGGAGGCTAGAAGCCCGAATTAGGATGCCAGTACCCAGGAAAGGCTAATTTTCTCTGTTGGATGTGGGTGAAGGTCTTTGTCTCTTTTCAGTTTCTGTTCCTCACTTCCTTGGGGATCTTCATGTGGTGTGACATCTGTCTTCTCCCATCTCTGCTTGCTTGCTTTTGTGCCTAGCCTCCTTTTCTATCTCAAAAGAGATTTGTTTAAATAGCATAGTCCACAAAGACAATGTTCTCTATTCTACTTTGGTGAGTAGTGACTGGCACCTTAAAAGTTCATGAGTGACCATCTAAGGTGCAACTATTAGTTTTCTTCATGTACGAAAGAAAGAAGAGTGATGAGAATTGAAGATGCGTGGGATCACTTAGTCCAATGCACTAATGAACCATTAATGTGAACATCAGTCTCCATGACTCTGAAACCAGAAGAACCAGGTGGTGC